ACGGCAAGATTTAAGAATTGTCGGCTGATTCTCCAAACCTCTGTGACCACAGAGCTGATAAAAGTCCAACAGGTTCGATCGGTTCGTGTTCAGCCACAAGGCAGGAGCAACACACCACACGAACCGATTCCAGTCACGAACATCGCGATTCCAGAAGAAATCCACAAAACTCCCAACCTAGCATACGGGAATTTAGAATAACCAAACACGGATGACGATGTAGAAGCAATAGTGATAGTTTGTGGAGTCATTTTAAGAGATAAAAGACGTAACAAAAAGAAAAGGCGGTGGATAAGAGACGATGGGAGCAGCCGCTCTATTTGCTGCACTATGATTTGGAGGTGAATATGTTTTTTCATAGTTAACATTTTTAACTGAATAAACATAATAAACATATACAATAATGACCTTTACATATAATAATAAACATTTCCACATATCATCTCCAATATCCACCGGTCTCTCAGTTGCACAATATGCCAGCTCTTTGGGGTTCCCCTCTGTTCTTATGTTACCGTGCTTTCTGATTGGCTACATGTCACATTCAACAGGTTGTATCCAAGTTCCCAGTCAGGGAAAACCCCACAGGCTGCGATAAAAGGGCCAAGACAATCAAATTGGGTATATTCAGGATTTAGCGGACACTACGCAGCCGTGGTGAGGCGCTGTCAACCCGCATCTTTTTAAAACATCCTCGACCCGATACTCCACCATCCTTAGAAGCAAAACCTCTCTAAAGACACAGACGTGAGAAGGAAGACTCAAACCCCAGGCTGAATAATGTTAGTGAGGATGAACACAGGCAATTTAAAAAAAAGTGTCTATCGTGGCGCAGTGTACATCAGGAGAGGAACCTGATATGGTAACATTTTGCTATGATTAATTTTCTTATTGTGCTTTTAGTAGACTATATTGGTTTGATTATTTGCTTATTTAATGTATAATAATATCAGCCAAAAATAATACAAATGATCATTTAAAGAACAAATCATAAATACATAAATATTTCCTACTTTAAAAGGTTTGGTAAGGCTTTCTCTATGTTTTATTTTGAAATGTTGATATGAATTTGAAATTTTATGAATTCATTGTTCAGTGGTCATTTATGCACCAGACACAGACCTG